AAAAATCTCGGAGGGCCCGTGTGCAAGTTGCGCACGTTAAAGATCCCTTGGTGGTCTAAAATCGATAAGAGTAGGCTTCGGTCGCCACCCGGGCAAAATTCAAAATTTTCTACCAACTGAAAAAGTTTAATGTGTCCCGCGCGCTCATATGACCTTATGCAGTTGCAAGCGCCGTAAAACACTTACAAAAACCCCCCAAAAAGTGTCATTGGTGAGCTATGACGTAGAATCTAGGCCATATTATTATGCGTATGCAAAATGTGTTCGACAAGCGGGAAGTGCTATGAACAATCTCATTTTCCGCGTGATGGAGATTTATAGGCCTAGTATTTTATATAAATTTATGACGAAATTTTTTTGATCAAGTCACAATTGTGGGAAAATAATTATGATTAAGTTAAGACAAATTGATACAAACTGCAGTGAAAAAGTATGGCTGACAATGATTCTCCCGTTAAAGAGATATTTGAGGATAAGTTGCGCCACGAATTTTTTGACAGCACTATAGTTACACGACACCTGCGTGCAAAAATAGTCCAGTTATACTAATGTGGTTTTATTATTAGTGCGGACAGGCGTATACATACATGTAATGCGCTTGTGAATAAACTTTAATTCTTTTGTACTTAGGCCTAGTTCCCAACCCGACGGTCTGTCAAGTCTCTACAACTACAATAGTTTTCTTTGCTTTTCATCTACCCTTTCCAAGCAGTCGTGTAGGCTACTTTCTTTTTTCCTTCCTTTTCATGTTATTGTTATTGTCACTGAATGTGAGTTGATCTTGCGTCTTGCGCGCTATCAAAACTTAGTGCGTGCTCAGGCGTGTTCTGCATGTAGAAGTGAGTAGCCTAATTAATGTCAAGCGTTTACGAGCGTCATTAAATCGGGATTATTTGTTATTATAGGTCGCAAAGCTTTAAAATGTACTCATGTCAGCTCGCAGAACACGTCTGAGCACACACACTATTATCCTACTCATTTTTCTCCAAAACATTCCCTTTGTGTACCTTTGTTCATCTCTCTAGTAACATCCGGAGTGAGACAGGGCTGCAATATCTCTCCTCTGCTCTTCGTGATCTACATGGACCAGATAACAAAAGAGGCCAATCCAGACCCAGAGGCACTCAACGAACTCATGTTTGCAAACGACCTGGCAATGATTAACAACAAGACTCAGCTACAGGAGCATATAAACCAACTAAACGCGAGCTGCAAAAAATATGACATGAAGATCAGTATAAGAAAGACCGAAGTCATGACAATTAGCAGGAGACCAGGCAAAGTGGATATCAACATCAATGGATCCCAACTAAAACAAAGCAGAGAATTCAAATACTTGGGCAGCATTTTCATAGAAAATGGAAAATTAGATCGAGAGACAGAGACTAGATGCCAGAGAGCCAACGCTGTCAGCTACCAACTGGGCCCTCTCCTGAAACATCCCAATATCCC